GGCTAGTCCTGACGCTGATACAGGTGACCCCACGTTAAAGGATAAAGGGGTACCGAAATATTTAATCGCAAGGGCAGTCGAAGATCGGGTAATTGGTGCGAGGATTTCTGGAGTAGGTCCGTTTTTCATGGAAATTCAAGACACTGTCTTTACAAACCCAAGTCGTAGGCTACAAATGGGTGATTTGGTATTCGTTGAGGAGTGGGAAGTCAGAGAAGGGTTTGAAAAATTGGGTAAGTTAGCAGTTGACTATATGCAGGATTATTCTGGAAGGTATACGCCTTGGATGACGTCTGGCTCAATACAACACCAAGCGACGGCAACAAAAGCCGAAATGGTACTTCTAAGACCTGGAAATTGGGTAACAGGCATAGTAGAAAATATTAAAATGAAAAGGGGTAAACTCTTATCGGCTGAGGTAATGGCCCCAAACATGTTAAGAAGCCAGCTAATAAACACTAGACAAATGACACAAATTCGTCCCCATCAATTGAAAAAAGGAGGATTATTGAAGTAGAATTAGCCAAAGTAATTAACCCGCAGGTGTGGAGAATGGGGAACAACTATATATTACCCGAAAAGACTCCATTTAAAAAGGGAGATGAATATTGGGCACATCAGAACGATGTTATAATTGGTTTGAGGCCCTCAAGAGTTCAAGAAAAATACCCAATAATGCCAACACACACTAAAGACCAACAAGAAAAAGCTATGGCAGCATTAGCCGCAGTTGCTGCGTGTCATCGTAATCGTGAGGACCAAGCTCTTAGAAAATGTGCAGTAGTAACAACGCTTAACTGGTCCGCTGAAGATCGTGCGCGAGAAAAAACTTTGGAAAATACTCTAGAGTTATGGTTCTCATACAAACCGAATAACCTTGCTGATTTGGAAGCGTACACGAGTGCTTTTGATGCGGACACTCCGTGTTTAATAAAAGTAAATGATCCGGACTTGAAACCTTGTGCGAAAGGTGAAGTAAAAGAAATCTCAAAGGGTGTCAATGCAGATGGATTTTGGTTCGAAGTATTACTTAGGGCACGTCATGAGGAAACACATAACTATGAAAGTAGCTACGAACATTGGGAAGGTATCATCGGTGAAGGTTGTGAAGTGCAGATAACACCAATCGCCAATCTCAAAAGGCTCCAACGGAGGGAGGACGTTCTGTCTAGTGGGTTCCCATTAGCATTGGCCCACTCAGGTCACATGGTTGCCCCAATTTTACGTACTTTAATAGGTATTGAAGGTGACCCACCACTCCCAAGTACGTTTAATCCTTTAGAAAATGATCACCCGGCAATGAGAAGGCTAAATCCACAACAACTTGAAACGGTAAAATTATTTCTGGATGGGGAGACGCGCCTGCTTTATCAGCAGGCGCCTCCCGGAGCGGGCAAAACATTAGTTTCAGGAGTCGCTATAGCGGCAGCGATCAGACGCCATCCTGATGCAGTTGTACTGGCAGTGGCCCCAATCAATGTTGCAGTGTGTGAGTTGGCCGAGGACACAACCAAGGCCATGTCCGTAGCAGGTGAGGTTGTTCCAATGCTTGCTTTATTCTCTGGTAGTGGAAAGTTTAAATACCAACAGAGAATTGAACAGGTAGGTAGTCACTTATTGGTTTGGAGAATAAAGGATGAGGACATTAGGGATCCATTGATGGCCCGAGCTGGGAAAAAGGTTGAAAGGTATGAGCGTGATGTGAAGGTTGCACCTAAAATAGCCCAAGAGAGAACAGTGGCATTTGAGTTAACCCAAATCAAAAAGTTTAAGGTCATATTTATGACACACTCTTTGGCAGAAGAACTCCAACTCTTTCTCGACGCCAGTCCTGATAGTCCAGATCCGAAGAAGGAGGTAATTTCACCACTGATCACCCATATGGTGATTGACGAAGTTGGCCAAGCCCAACATAACAGCGTAATCTCCAGTGTGTCACAATTTCCTAATTTGAAGAAATTGCTGATGACCGGAGACTACTTGCAGCTGCAGGTACACCAACCCTCTCAACCCTTGGTCATAAGGGACAAATTGGGTATGAATTCGGTATTGGACCGATTGAGGGACTGTAATGGGGTAAGTTTTGTGAGACTTACAACATCTTACAGATCGCACCCTAAACTGGTGAACTGCTTGGCATTGAGTGTCTATGAGCCAAATGGAGAACAACTAAGGCCAGGACTAAATGAATCCCAAAGGGACCTGCTGACTAATCAAATAGGATTGAATTTACCGATTCAAAATACTCCGATAATTTTGATTCAGCAAAATACAGCAGTGGAGATGGACCCAACGTCCTTCTCATTGACCAACGGTGGGCATACAATCACAACGGTAACTTTATTAAATGAGTTAGTCCCGCCACTAGCCTCTAGGAGAATGAAAATTCTCGTAATTGGTCTGTACACTGCGCAGGTATCTAACATTAGGAGAGCTATTAAAGAGTATAATTGGTCAAATGTCACTTGCTCGACTTGTGACGCAATACAATCACAAGAGGCGGATCTAGTCAATCTCACAACCACCAAAACTAGTGTGCAACAGAAGCAATCTAGTGAGGAGGAAAAGGGTTTGTTTTGGTCTGATCCGCGTAGGACTAATGTGGCGTTGTCCAGGGCCCGTTACGGGTTAATTGTGATTGGGGACTTACCATTCCTATGCCAAAAAGGAGAAGTTTGGGAGAAATTTGTCCTTGAGGCATGTAAACAAACAGTGGTAGTGACGCCGGCGTTCATTGAGCTAATGAAGGCTGGTAATATTCAAAGGGTGAATGGGGTAATTGCCGATTATAAAGGTGAGATACCAATCGCGTGGGACTTTTACGAAAAAATGAAAATTGATAGTAATTTAGTTGGAAAGCCACCACAGACCCAACAAGCAATGGAGTGCGAGAGCACCCAATCTACTAGCGGACAGGCCATACAGCCTGTACAGATAACCTCAACACAAACACCGGCTTCAGGTGGATATCAAGGATATTATGGACCCTCAACTGCACCTCCAGGGAGCCAACCTCAATGGACACAACCAGTGCAGATGCCACAACCGCCACAACATCAATTCCAACACCCTCAACAGTCAGGTGGACCAGTAATAGGGGGAATTTATCAAAAACAAATAATAGGGGTCCCTTTGCCTTCTAACGTCCCACAGGTGACACAGTGCAGTGGCTGTCATTCGATTGTCCCGAATGTGCACGAAGACATTTGTGACTACTCTCCTTGTATGGTTTGTCATGGAATAGCTCCTCATTTGAAAGGACAGTGCCCACGACGACCATGTGGATATTGTTACATAATGGGACATCAAAGAGACAATTGCCCTCATGCGCCGTGCTCTTGGTGTGGACAACAGGGACACACGAAAATAAATTGCATGTACAGAAGATAAGAGGATTTATAAAAAAAAATATTTTATAACTTTACTTTAGCCTCTAGTATAATAGCCTCTTGTAACACACACTTTAACAGCCTCTAGCAAATGTACACTTGATCATTAGCCTCTAGAAGACTTTGTCTTAGCCTCTAGATTTGTAACTTTACTCACAGCCTCTAAATACTTATTTTTTGTCACTAACTTAAACTTATTGGGACAAATTTGAAAAGACATTGAATAGCAAACACAGGTGAAAAACCCCGAAAGACAAGCGACGCATTATATAGATGCACGCGCAGCAAATCTTTTAAAAAAAGGAGCCGAGTAATTTAACGGTCTAACATCTCCTACCATAAAGGGACACTTTAAAAGATGCATTGGGTACAAGGGTTTTATAAATCTTGTTCCCTGACCCGCATGATTGTAATTTCATTGTAATTGTTTACCTGACAACGATCTTAATGCAACAAAAACCCAAAAACAACAGGGCCTGCAAAGATACAATTTAACCAAAGATAAACAACTCTCTCAGACAAATCATCAAAAGACAAACTTTTCAACAAAAACTGCAAGAAAAAAGTTAAAAATAAAATGGAAGAGGACAAAAGCCGAAGGCGAGTTCCGAACCATAAATAAAAACATAAAAGCGCATTATAAAAAAAGGAAAAGGAAAAGAAATCATCAGAAAGTTCAAAAAAAAACATGTAAAAAGCAATCATCATTTAACGGACCAGGGACGGTCCTCGATAAGGTTGAAGGCAGATAGAATTGAAAAACAACAGAGAAACCAAAAAAACAACTAGGCACCAACACAGGCCCAGTACAATCATCAAAAGAAAAATGAAAAAAACAACCTTCTCAATCAACAGAAAAACAAGAAAAGAAGAAAGCATTAATCGATAAATCTTGAAAAAAAACAATGTAAACATAGTAGATTTATTCTAATGGGCTGACTCGTTTACCAACCCTTCGGACAGGTGTAATATAACCTAAAATGGCAGCCGAAAATGTTAAGTCTATTAGAATAAATACGAAAAAAAAGAAAAAATTCCAAAAAAAAAAAAACAAAAAAAAAAACTTGAAAAAATATTCAAAGAAAAGACACAATAAAGTGCACTTTCTCGTAGCCCACATTCAATGCATCAAGAGCGGTCTTCAAGACCGAGGGTCCGGTCTTCCCCCAGGTTGGAGGTGTAAGGCCGTGCTTGTCCTTGACAAGCAGGAAGAACACTTAAGCACACGCCCTATAAGGATAAGGATAGGATTATTTAATGCATGGGAAAACAGTTGAAAGAGATCAGTTGAGTTGGGCCCAACGGGAGAAGAAGGAAGCAATCACTTTAATCTTAGAGCAGCGCCGCTAGCTAATGGTTTTTAGTAATAAGCGCTAAATTTCTTTTCCCGGGAACGTTCTCTTTTGTTATTCAATGTCGACTCTATAATCAATTATATTATTAATAATTTTGTTAGCTTTAACTTTACTTTATTCAATCGCGATTTTAAATTTTACATTTAAATAAATATTATTTTATGCGCAACAATTAGGGCCTAAGCTTTGCTTCTAACGGAGCACATACAACGTTGTATTTGAAGATAGAGTAGCCCTCACGGTGTCGATACCTCGCCTCATTTAATTTACTGGGTGGCCCAATACGTGTAAACCTCACTATATAAAGGTGTTGATTTATTTGTTTCTTTTTTAAAGCTGGGTGGCTCCAGTTGGAGAGTTTTAGGAGAAACAGGAATCTCTACTTTTCCTTAATTGAAGAGGAAAAGGCTTTGAAGGAATGAGACACGAAAAGAATTTTTCACAATTAGTATCGGGATTGCTTAAACAGGATTTCCAGCTACTATATCTCTAAAACAAAAAATTTTTTCTCTAACCCAGGACAATAATTTAATTGTAAGTCCAATTAATTCGTATTTTCTTTTCGACCCAAAATAATTCATTTCTTTCCTTCTCACCGTGTTCAGTTAATTTATCTTCAATAAATTTATCCAATTTCAAAAAATCCCTTCTCGCAGCCAAAATAGCCATGTCAATAACAAACGGGAATTGATTTATACTCAACAATTCACTCAGCCCTTTCAATTCGTGTGTAATTTCCAAAATTCGTGTTAAACGGCTTTGGTCTTCCGGATTTTGTGAATAATAAGCGGCCATTGAACCAAACAAAATTTGACGCATTTGGACACGATGATTTTCGAAATTCCAAGCAAATTGAAATACTGGGACGGCATTTGAATGGCCAGATAATAAAACTGATACGAGGTATTTAAGTACATGAACACGAAATTGAGTCATTGGCATCTGAATAAATTTGGAAATTATTTTGATAAAATTTTGAAGAATTGAGGAGAGAATTCTGACTGAGGAAAAAATTCTGATTTTTATTAATCAAAAAATCAGAAATTATGAAAAAAATAAAGAACTTCTTAAATCAGAATTTTCCTGTTAGAGAATTAAAATAGCGTTCCTCTTCTATCAATACTTTGTGTTTTTTTTATTATTTTTATTTGTTAAATACATCTATAGTTTAAAATTCTGATACTTAAATACATACACTTATTTGCAAAACACCAAGAAAGAGCAAATCTGGACATAATGCCATCGGTCCTGGACTGAAAATTAAAAACATATTATCAACACAAAATCTAAACAAAAAACCTTCTTCTCAATAAAGTCAATACTTGATTACTCAAAGCCGGAATATCCCCCAATCGAAATATAATTTCAACTAAATCCAGAGATTTCCACATCCCCACAGCTCTGTTTGATTCGTCTGGAAAGACTTTTAAACATCCCAAATTTCCAACAGGATGGTGTGGATAGTCGAGAACGTAGAACGGAAAAAGTAAGAAAAAATTATTTTTAAAAAATTTAACTGTTTATCTAAAATCTTCCTATCTTTTACAATAACTTGGGAATGGTAAATAAATTTTGGGGAGGGATGAGGGAAAGAGATATCAGATTTTGTCAAATGTGACATTTCATCTATGATTTTTATCATATACTTGATTTGGGGGCGCTTTAGTATATGCCAAGTTTTTCCACCGAAGATTCCGTTGGTTGTTCAGAATCATACAATCGAGTTGATTTTAGTGTCATTCGACTCAGCTCGCCGAGTTCTCTCGAATGAGCTATTATTTGGATTTTCGATTTTTTGACCCCAAAAATTTTCAAATTTCGGGGGTCTGTAACTCGGCCCTATTTAGTCGGATCGCGATAATTTTGGTGGCATTCGACTCAGCTCGAATACGCGTATCAGAATAGCCCTAAATTTTTAATACCGAATTTTTATCCCGAATTTCGACTTGGTCGAAATCAAGTCCGGGGTTCGAAATAAACGAATTCTAAACTCAGATTCGTGTCCAGCATGGTCGATTACCTATATAAAATTATTCTGAGAAAAAAATAATAATTTTTAAGATGTTTTTAAGGTGTCTCCCAGATTCTGCAGGATTACCCAGAAATATTTCTAAGACATAGTTAATCCAGGCAGGATATATAGATAAAAAATAGGTGGTAAAAGAATAATCTAGATGCCAGGATAGCCTAGAGAGTTAAGCAATAAATGTTAGTATAAGTGAAATCTTTGAAGGAGAGGTACTTAATAGGGGATTGTTAGTGAGAATCCACGACATCGGGGTATATGAAAAAGATAATAAATTCCTCATAAACTATCAAATCTAGTTAATTACCACATCCGGATGATGAATAATTTGGCTGAGCAAAGAAAGTTGTCCACCTTTATTTCCAGCCCATAATCGATAAATTAGTCCGATAGGGAAAGGATTTGGGGCAATTCCCGTTATTAAAATAATCATAAGTAATTGTAAAGCATTTTTTGATTTGATAAAAAAATGTTGATTATCCAATGTTTGGAGAACTTCTGACCAATCCAATGTTGGAGACTTGAAATTTTTTTAAAATAATTTTCAGAAAAAATTTTTTTCCCGAACCATAGCTCGAATAGCATTTACAAAAATAGCCCCATCATAAGGCATGGCTGTTGAAGTGACATTTGGTCCACTTAAAAGCATATCCCAATTACTTTTTTCTTCATGAGGAAATGAAGAAGAGGAGGAGGAATAATATTCTCCTGTAGATATAATCATCGCCGTAATCTTTTAGTAAAAAAATTTTTTGTTTAAATTTTTTTCATTAAATACTAACCAGTCTGGCAGTAGAAATAGTATCTAAAGGTATATCTCCAAGTATTGCTAAAATTTGTTGTTGACATATTTCGATACTAGAAGTGAATGAAGATCCGAGTTTCTGTTAAATATGTATTTTTTATAAAATTTCCAAGATTTTTAGTATTTTTGAAGGAAATTTTAGATTAGTTTAACTTGCACAGGAAAATTTTCGAATGGGGGTCAGGGCCAAAAAAGCCAAAAACTGGCAATAGGTTATCGACCTTGCTCTACACGATCGTGCAAAAGAAAATCCGAAATTTTTGACTACAGTTCAAAATGTTCCCTTGTGAGAAGATAAATTCACAACCCAAATATCTTTTCAGACCCCATCAATCGAGAGTAATAACTCTAAAAGTTTCGATTCCAGTGACCGAGATTTTGTGTTGATTTCTCGATTTAACACCAAAATTAAATACCTCATCACAATCCTCTCCGTCTTTACTGGAATTTATTTTCCTATCGCATTTAATATTTTCATTATTTTTGGAGGGTTTTATTTCAATTATTTTATCAGAAATTTTATTAAGATTTTTGGAATTAAAGCTCATTTTATTTTTAAAATGAGAATATTTATGTTCACATTTATATACCAATTTTTAACAGTCAACAATCAAAACCGGCAATTTTCTAATTTCTCAGGATTAATTGTGAAGTATATTTTTGAGGAAATTTTTGTTTCATAATGAAACAAACCCGCAGTATTCACAAATTTCCTTCAAATGCCAATAAAAGGATTGGAGGGCATGATCAAAGCAAAAAAATAAAGTTGAGGGAGGGGAGAGGGGGGGGGACAATCAAAGATTAAAATTTTTTTAATTTTTTATATACCTGTATTCTAAGAATAAGCTCGTTGTTAGACAAAGGATCGCCTGGACTTGCCAAATCCATGAAAATTTGTTAAATTTTTATTTAATTTTTTTTATTAAATGTTAAACTTAAAATTTAATAAGTTTACTTTTTTAGTCTAAAAAGAAGGATTTAAAAATTATAATTTGTCAGGTATTAGTAATTTACATTTAATAGATTAATAACCTTCCTTGCCAACATGAATTTACTTTTCTAAAAAATATGTATTGATCTTCACATGGCTTTGGTGCACATGATCGGGGTATAGCCCAAAAGGGAAAAAGGGCGCGCGGCCATAACGGCGCAGAGCCATAACTTGCTTCAAACTTTCCGAATTTTAACAAATTTAGTATGAAACGATTCCTCTCGTCAGGCTAAAGGAATTGGTACCAAAATTGATAAAGGCCAGAAACAGCTAGTTATGGCTTCGCGCGTTGTGAACGCGCGCCATTTTGGGCGTTTCCCACATGATCGATTTCCTAATTTTGTCCTTTTTGAAAGAAAATTTTTCGAAACGAATTTATTTATTTTTGGCGGAAATTTAAATCTTGTTTTTAACGATTTTTGGTCGCGGGGACAAATCAAATTATTTTTTTGTGATTAATTTTAGTATTGTTTATTTTGATTATTTATCTCGTTAACTGTAAAAATAAATTTTTTTTACTCAAAGGAAGGGTGAAAAATTCACGTGCCTTAATTTCTAAGCTTTGTTGCCAAATTGACCTCCATTAAATTTGTTTTTAAATTTGATACTTTCTTGTTTTTCGTACTCTTTTTATTTTTAGAATATATACAAATAAATAAATTTTAACAAAATGTCTGGTGGCGGCAAAGATAGAATTGCTGTTTTTCCTTCTCGAATGTAAGCTGTTTTTTAATCTTTTTAAAAATTTATTTTTTAAATAAAAGGGCACAATCTGTAATGAAGACTCGTCTTAAAGGTGCTCAGAAAGGACATAGTTTGTTGAAGAAAAAGGCGGATGCTTTGAATTTGCGTTTTCGTGAAATTCTGAAGAAAATTACGGAGGTTTTTTTTAATTTTTGATGTTTTTGGAGGGCATTTACCTTTACTTAAAAACTGTTTAATAGAAATCGAGTTTTTGAAAGGCCTTGGCCTGTTCTGGGGTTCTGGGTTTGATTTATTGACCTATGTCAGATCCTGGGCCTGTAGTCCGGGAAAAACACAAGAAGGTCAAAAAATGCCTGGGCATGGACTCTGGGTACTGGAAAAACCCAGGCCTTCGTCCAGGCTCAGTTCGATCTTTATTGCTAAAAAATACATTTATTCTGACATTTTTAATATTTTAGAATAAGAAAAAGATGGCAGAAATACTTAAAGAAGCGGCCTTTTCTTTGGCCGAAGCAAAATTTACTGCTGGCGATTTTTCTCCCCATGTCGTTCAAAATGTTTCTACACAGGCTCAATACACTGTTAGGCTTTTTTGTCTGTTTTTAATTCAAATTTTATTTTTTTTAGATTAAAATGAGGAAAGATAATGTTGTTGGTTTGTTTAAATATAAATTTGGTTTTAAACATTATTTTTTAGGTGTTTTTCTTCCCGTGTTTGAAGCTCATAGACGTGAAGGGTTGGATGGGGATGCTTATAATTTGACAGGTCTTGGAAAGGGTGGAGCTAATATTGGGAAATTAAAAAAGGTTTTTTATTTAAAAATTTATTTTTCAAATCAAGAAAAACTCTTTCTGTTTCCTCATAAGATGATTTTTTTGAATTTTTGGTTACTTACAATTAGTTAACGATCGATTAATAGAAAATTTTTTAACAATTAAAAAATATTTTTATTTTTTAAGAATTACAATAAAGCAATAGAATTATTGGTTGAACTTGCAACATTACAAACTTGTTTTATTACTTTGGATGAAGCTATAAAAATTACTAATCGACGTGTTAATGCTATTGAGCATGTTATTATTCCTAAAATTGAAAATACTTTGACTTATATTGGTTTGTTTATTTGTTTATTTAAAAGGCTTCTAATGCTAGTTTAGAGTTTAGGATCCAGATTGAGTCCAAGAGTAAATAGGAAAATTTTTTGGAAGGGAATGTTTTCCCGGTTCTCCCTATCTTTAAAATTTTAAGTTTTCTTAAATTTAATTTTAGTTGTGCCACTCAATTTGATTAAAATTTTATTTTAACATTCTAAAAATTTTTTTATTTTTAGTAACAGAATTGGATGAAATGGAAAGAGAAGAATTCTTTCGAATGAAGAAAATTCAAGCAAAAAAGAAGAGAGACAGAGCTTTGGCTGAAACTAAAGATGAATATAATGAGAGACAACCAGATGATGGACGTCCAATTCGTAATATGTTGGATGAAGAAGATGATTTGCCTGTACTTTTTACTTAAATAAAGGAGGAAGAGAAGATAATTTAGGTTTTTAATTAAATTTTGTGGAAATTAATTATTCGAAATACTTTTGGGGGAGGAATACAAACAAAACAAGTTGTTTTCTTAAATTGACAAATTTCTGATTTATATTAAGTTGGATAACTCGTTTTTAGATTTTTCAAAAAGAGAAGGAAACAACTTGTGTTTTTGGGATCCAGAAATAAAGCTAATAATAAGGTAAAATATTGTGGTACTGAACGATTTTCAGAATCGCTGTTTCAGATTCGAGGCCGTTTTTGGGTCAACCTTCTTGCTTCTTAACCGACATAAATATTATTATATCAACGAAAGTTATTAATGGGAGGATTATTTTAGCTAAAAGTTATAATGGCCTCGACACTAAAACAGCCTTTACCGAAATTCTGACATGAGACTGAGGCTAAAATTCCGTTACTCAGTTGGCCTCTTTTTGTGATTTCTCTTTTAAATAAAAAATAAAATATTCCAAAACTTTTAATATTTTCCTTTTTAAAGAATAAATTTTAGTTTTCTTTTTAATTATTTTTTAAATTAAAAAGTTTTCTCTTTTAATATTTCTGTTAACACAAAATTCCTAAAAAAAATTATTTTTATTTTTTAAAGGCCATTTCCAAATATATAAACAACCCAACCACATCGATTCTCTATTCTCGCATGTGTCTTTTTTTAACTAAAATTGTGTAGTAATTTTTATTTATTTTTTCTTTAGCCTTCCAACAATTAAAGCTAGTGAGTGTATATGTTTATTTATCTCTAGTATTTTCTTGTTTTTTAGACTTATTTAATTTTATTTTCCTTTTATTGAAGAGACAGGTTTTTTATTTTTTAATGCCAGAAGCTTTAGAAATCTTCTAATATTTGCAAACTTTTTTGACTCAAAAATCTCAGTTTTTCAAGATTCCTAAAAGATAATCCTCATTGTAAAGCATATAGCTGTTTAATTCATAAGGCTGTGCATTAGGTGGCGTGGTTTAATGGTTAACACATCAGTCCAGTCTAATGAAGATGCTGGTTCGCTCACAGATAGGGTTGTCGGTTTCAAACCGAACCGAAAAACCGAAGATTTTCGGTTCGGTTTGTCACTTCGGCTTCGGTTAACCGATGACCCCAGCCGCCGATTAACCTTTGCACTGGCTGAAGGAGAGAAATAGCTATAGCCCAACTGCTTTACTTCATTTTTATTTACCCCCACCCCTTCTCCCCCAATCTTAAAAATATCCAAATCTTCCATTTAAATTCCCTCTCAATACATTCAATTTTAATTTTAGATCCCTTTCTAATTAATGTCATTAATTTTCGAATCCCCACCTTTATTGGATGAACGACAAAGCACAAAATTATTTAATTATTTATTTATTCTTTCCCAATGTTTTGGAATTTTGGCAGTTTTTGGTGTTGCTATATGGATGGGGGCTTTTGAAGATGGAGGGTTTTCTTGGAGTGAAAACCCTTCAAAACAATTTCATTATCACCCAACGGTTGGAGAAAAAATTTAAAATTAATTAAATATTTAAATACTCTAATTTACTCTTTTATTCTTTTTTTCTCCCAAAATCTCCCAAATAAAAATTATTTGAGCCTGAGAATTTATTTTAAATAATTACATTAGAGGTCAGCACGGGACAGGATCCCTTACGGGATTTTACGGGATCCTGTCCCGAAATCCCGTATTTTAAGCGACGAATGGGATTAATCCCTCGGGATCCTTTCCCGTAAAAATTGTTGAAAAGAATCCCGTTACGGGGATGCGATTTTGCCGACCTCTAATCTACATAAATAGAAAAAAATATTTTTATTTTTAGTTTATGGTGATTGCTGTTATTTTTCTTCAGGGCGAATCTATGTATAAAAAATATAATTTATTTTTAAATTAATTTTTAATTTTTTTAAAGTCTAGTCTATCGAGTTTTTCGGTAAATATTGTATTTTTAATTTAAAAAAATCCCTTAATATTTTTACAGAAATGAACGTAAACGATTTGTTAAAGTAATTTTAAAATGAAAATTTAATTTTAAAAAATTCTCTTTTAAAAAAGTTACTTCATTTATCAACACATTCTGTTGCTCTTTTATTAGTTTTAATTGCCCTAAAGGCTGTTTGGGATTCTCATGGTTATTTTTGAATTTTTATTGGAAATATTGTTTTTTTGTAAAATTATCTTCTCTCCTTTCAACAGCCAATTTTAAGATATAAATTAGTAACTGACTTTATTGAAGTCTAAAGTCGCCTTTATAATTTTGGACTTTTCAGAATATACCTAAAACTAGGCTTTGATGGGAGGGGAAGCAAACAAATTTTGTTTTACTTTAGCAGGATCCCTGTCGGTGTTATAGTAATTGTGAATTAGACCCCAGCTAAGCACTTCCCAATCCTTATTTACAAAGATCTATGGATATATAAATTAATTATTTTTTCTAAACAATAAAAACACTAATTACAATTCCCCCTCAACAGATTTACATAAAAACAGCCAAGGCGAGGATGACCCTTTACCCAATCTAGTTTCTCTTCATTCCTGGATTGGAATATCTTCTGTTATTTTTTATTTTCTTCAGGTATACTTTCTACCTCTCTATTTCTATTTAATTTTTAAAAAGTTTGGTGCCGGTTTTCTTTCATTTTTCTGGCCAGGACTTTCTCAAGATTTTCGCAGAGCAATTTTACCTTTTCACCAATTGGGGGGACTTTTAATTTTGTTTGCTTGCACAGTTACAGCTTTATTGGGGATTTCTGAATATGCTGCTTGGCATCATGGGTATTTAGAAATCTGAGAGACTTTAAATTAAAAATTATTTTTTTAAAAGTTGTTGGACTGTCGGGAAAGAACTTTGTGGACGTCAATTACTTTCTAATTTATTGGGATTTTCTTTAATTGGGTTTTCTGCTTGTGTATTTTTATTAATAGCAAATCCACGTTGGAAACGAAGGCCGTTACCCGAAGAGGAATGTTTAAATTCTTTGGTAGATGAAGAATAAATTTGAAAAAAATTTTTAATTGAAAAAATTATTATGTTATCCTTTTTTTGAATGTAAAGAGGAATTTGTGAAGATTTTCTTTACTTCTTCCCCCTTTCCTTTAAATTTTTCTTAAATTCACCCCTCTCAAAATTCGAACCCTCTAATAGTTTATTCTAGGGTAGCACCCCGAGCCTTCGGGTCCGGGAGTCGCCGGGGTAGAGCCTTCGGAGGTCGGAGTTTCGGGGGACGGGGTGCTACCCTAGTTTATTCCACATATTGGAGAATGCTTTATTCATTTCCACATTTCGGGCACTTTTTCAGACTCCCCGGAATTAACTTTCAAAGTTTTACTTCCGCAGACTCTTACAATCACAATTTTTTATTTTAATAATTCCTTTTATGAACAGCATATTAATTTAAAAAAAATATATATTTTTGCATATCACATATTAAATATTATTATGTCAAATATAAACATTATTATGTCAAATATTTTTTTAAATAATAATGATTGGGCAACTGTGCCCAATCATTTTTTCCTTGATTTGTGGTTAGAAAAAAACAAAACAATTTGTCTATTCCTCGTCTTTTCCATGCATTATTAATAAATATAAATCAATGTCAGAAATTGTTTTTTGTTTAATAACTTAAAATTTTGTTATTTGATATATACCCTTAAATATAGTAGATAATAATTCGGCCTCATTAGGTGGAGTTATCACGGATTAATTTTTAACAAACAGATTAATAATTAAATTTTGTTCATCTATTATTATGGATCTGACCGAGACGAGACCGAGACTCTCGTACAAAACTCCAGTCAGACAAACCTCCAATGCTATCTCTAATATTTTTATCATAAGTTATTAATTATTGAAAATTACTAAATCTAAAAAAGTTTTGAACAACGCCTTTGCCTTTACTAAGTTACATACTTCTTTTAATTAAATATACAGTCACGCTATTATTCAATGCCCCCTATAATTTAGAACATTTTTAAGTCCCCTCATTTAGGCCCTCATTTACCTCTCATTAATAGAGGCTCTTATGTTTGGTTTTCAAACATTCCTTCTCTAAATAATGCCCACATAATAAAATTCAAAGTATATTTTAGTAGCTAAAATGTTGCTTAATTGTATTAGACAAAGGCCAGTAACTACTTGGAGATCAGATTATGGTTGTGATATTAATGAAGTATTTTCTATGCCTTTTGGGGATGATTTGTGTGAACGTTGTATTCAAATTAAATCAGAAAAAATAAATGAAGGAGAAAGGAAAATGAAGACAAATCGAAGAATTTTAAATAAAGGTAAATAAGTACATAGTTTAGTTGCTTTTTACAAATGTAGTGGAGAATTTTTATCTTTAGCGTTTCAATAATTTTAAAAAATTTACTTTAAATTTTACATATTAGAGTTGAAACCCGGACCGAATCCGGTAGTCCCGACGGGTATTTTGATAAAAATCGTATTTTGATTTCGAAAATCCGGTCCGGATAAAGAAATTCATAAATCCTTAAACGGGATCCGGCATTTCCCAAACTTTCAATTCTAATAAATATATCAACGTTTTTGAAAATCATTTAGTTGCTAAGACAAATTTTTCTCATTTTATCTCATTTTAAATAAAAAATTTAAAAATCAACGTCGCTTCATAAAATTAACTATATTACTCACCCTAATACAATTACCGTATATACTGTATTAATTACCCTGGGTAATTATTGTTTCGATCTCTCGCTGGAGGGGGTAATAAAAGCAGGCGGGGTAATTATTTGAGGGAGGGTAATAAATACAGTATATACGGTAGAGATCGGACCGTCCGTACTACGGCCGTATTTTTCGGTATTTATCGGTATTCCGTATCGGTAGTACGGTACGGAATACGGTACGGAAAAATTTTGAAAAAAAATACGGTACGGAATACGGTACCGATGAAAAACATCGGTATTTGTCGGTATTTCTCGGTATTTATCGGTATTACAGTCGGTAATACGGTACGGAATACGGTACGGCAACATTTTGAATTTCATCGGTATTTTTCGGTATTACGGTACGGAATACGGTACGGAACAAAATTCCGATCTCTAATATACGGTACATAATTCAAAGCTTTCTTTTTAATTAATGTTTCCATAATAAATATTTATTTCCTTCAATACCCCCCCCCCAACAACGTTTCTTTTCAAGAATATTTTCTCTTCATAAATTCAACTTAAAACCAACTTCTTCCTTCCACTTAAAGATTCTTTTTTAGCTTTTTAGCTTTAAAAATATATTCCTTCTTTCACACAAATCTACTTAATCTTGTTATTATTATTATTGCTATTTTGTTTTGTTGTAAAGTGTGTGCCTCTTTAACTATACCTTTATTTGCTAAAAAGAATTTTTCCTTAAGTTTTCTCGACCAATCTATCGCCCCTAAAGATCTTTCTCAAAACTGTTTAGAGAGAGCAATTCACCAACTGATCAATTCCCCTAATTAACACGAAAGAAAAACAATGACTCTTTTGTTAGGAAAATTCTCTAACTATTATCCCAATATTTTTGTTTTAATATAATTTGCTGGAATTTATATACTAGTTTAATTTAAAAAGCAAATTGTTGAATTTCTGACCTTTCAGCAAATTCCCTCTCCATTCAGTCATTTGTCATTTCCGTGAATTGTCTTCACTTTTCTCTCTTTTCTCTTTTAAACCTTTCCTTCCTTCAATATTGGCCATTCCCGTGTAAAAATAAATCGTTGTCAGCTTTTTCTTTTTAAAACTTTTTTTCTGGTCATTTATTGGTTTCATTTTACACTTTTAAAAAGTAAAGAAAGATAAATAATATGCCCAAACCTTCCTCTCTTTTTACCAAATTACAAGTCCGCCTAAAACGTTTTCCTCGATTGGATGACGGTTTAGAGTCAACAGACGAAGAAGGAGAATCAGAATTTCACGCTAAAAAATTTCCTAATCCTTTATTTGATGGAGAAATTATTGAAACTACACCAAAAATGACAGGAAGAAGACAAAGAGCTGTTCGCTTCAGTGAAGGCCAGGAAGGAGATTATGGCGGGATTTATACATATACCTAATTATTTTAATTTTTAAGAGGGTAATAGGGGAGGGATATTTAGTACTTTCAAATTAATAAGTTGTTGATTTTTTCGTAAAAATTAAAAAATAACAACTTTTAGATTTTGTGTTGTTATAAAGTAGGGTCAAGTAATTAAGTCAGCGCCGTAACATTACCGCGCCAGAATATACACAAATTTCTTTTAAAAATATTTTCCCCTTTTATTTAGACTCTCCAAATGGTCTGTCTCCACCTTCAGCTCCTCCTCGCCCACCTCTGCCAAATTCATTTCCTTCTGGCAACGCTGCAGCATTACCTCCAAAACCAAAATCTCCCCAACCGGCCCCAAGGCGTTCATTTTCTCAAATAAGCCCTCCCTCAATTTATTATTCACAAAATGGAAATAATTCTTCTGATGAAAATACTTGGATTGCTAGTAATCAAGATAATAAAAATAATTTTGGAGAAAATTCACAACCACCAAGGCCTAATCGAAATAATGTAAGTAATTAAAGAAGGGGATGTTTGGGCGCAGCGAATTGGAGGGGGGGCTTTCTAAAAATTATTATTTTAAACGCTGATTCCCTCTAAGAAATACCTTTCTAAAAAATTAAAAAAATAAACTTTAAAAAATTAAGAATAACTGTCAAAGAGCAAATTCATTATTACGACAAATGAGAAATTCTGAGTCAAATGAATTTGATGAACCTATTGAATGTAGCAGTAGACAAAGGGCAGGTAATTAATTAAAAATTTAGAAATTTACAAAAAAGAGATTGAGGATAGAGATTTTTGAGAGAGGACAGGGGAATTAGACAGGAATATCTATGAAAGTAACTTCATTCTAAGAGTCTCTCCCTCCAATATCGGGAATTCTAAATTTGCGAGGAATGGGGGTTACACTAAAATAAATCATCATTATATCTATAACCAAAGGATATCACTCTCCTCCTTTGTCTTTTGGTCATTCTTACCTTCGGCAATCCCGGAGAATCGTGGTCCCTGCGGAAAAAAATCTTAAAAATAAGAAAAAGGATTTTTATAGGGTAAAAAAATATGCTGATTACGAATCTGAACTCGGATTTTGAAAAAGTCGAATCCCGAACCCGAATATAGGTCCTCGAATATCGAAAAACCATAGGGGGGACCAAGCTGATTTTGGGTAAAAAATTCGAATATGCAAATTATACCTCATTCGAAAGAGCTTTTCAAGCTGAGTCGAATGACACCAAAATCATCGTGATTGAACAAGATCGGACGAAGTTATACCACAAAAAACAAACAACGTAAGCCTAAGTTTTTTGTGTCATAATTTTGTCCAAACTTGAATAATCAAGCTGATTTTGATGTCATTCGACTCAGCTCGTCGAGCTCTTTCGAATGAGATATTATTTGACCAATTTGCGCTCTGTTTATTATTCGAAATTTTTCCCAAAATGTCAAATGTCCGAATTTCGGGTCCGGGATTCAACTTTTTCAAAATCCGAGTTCAGATTCGTAATCAGCATATTTTTTTACCCTAGAAAAATCCTTTTTCTTATTTTTAAGATTTTTTTCCGCAGGGACCACGATTCTCCGGGATTGCCTTACCTTCTACTAATTATTATTAATTAAAAGGTTTATCATCCTCATCATCCCCACCAATTTATTTATTTTTGGAGCATCAAGGAGAAACTAAACGTTCAACATTTCCCCCAAATCTACGTTCAATAGAACATTTAAAAAGTTTATTTTTGCGTTCATTTCCCTTATTAGAATCCAAACATTTACATTCAAATAATGTAAAGATTTATATTCAAAAATTAAATTCTCCACACGGATTGTTTTATGAATTGGAAAATTTGGAGGATTTGGAAGATTCTTGTGTTTTAAGGTAAATTAATTGACCTTCACAAAGGGATAAATTACGAATTAAAATTAGTGTAAGGAATAAGGGAAACCCTTCAGGTTGTACATGGCGGGCGAAACAAATACCCTCAAGTATAAATAATTGCAGGAGAAATGTAGCAGAGAACCCCCAAATTAAAGGTTAAGAACAGGGTTGGGCACAGCGGTTATTAACAGATATACCCCCAAGCTTTTGGATCCTGTTCGGTTAACCGTTAAATTTTTTTTCAATTTTAATTTTAACCAACCCAAGTTAGAAGGGCAAATAAAAATATTTTTTAAGTTTTTTTTAATTTTAAAGACTTTTTGAACAAAATTTGCCTTCTTCGCCTTCATTTAATCGTCGAAATAATGCCCCAATAATTGAATGTCTTAGTGAACCAGAAATTAATGAATGGGGAGATGAATTAAATAAACAACAAATTATTAGACCAGCATCCGTTTTAGGCTCTAATTTTAATAAAAACAAACAAAAAAGAAGAATATTAATTGATGGGGGACATACAAGTGATTCTTCTACTTGCTCTTTTGGGGGTAATCAAACACCTATTTATTATACTACAAAATCGGGATCGAGCACTCCAAGGGAAGAAATTGTTGAACAACACCAACAAGAAGAAACACGGAGAAAGGTATTGGAAATAAAAAGAAAATTGTTGTAGTTAGTGATGGATACATAAATTACCCTTGTAGGTACACTTAATACTAGTTCCAGTTCCGGGATCCGGAGCTCAAATTGGATCCGGTTCAGGTCAAGATTTTGGTTCCAGTGAAATATACTTAATACCAGAACTACATCTCTATCTTCATTCTCTCAATTGTTTGTTTAACCCATATTTCTGGAAATTCAGTTTGATGAAATATAGAGAAAGCAAAGCGTTTAAACATAAGGATAATTCGCCTAGCTTTAAACACTTACGCGGTGACTAAATATAAGGAGAAATTGAAAGCATTAAGTTATTGCCCCAAGTGATAGAGCACCTCCAAGAAGTACTTTAGAGGTTACGGGTTCAATTCCTCCCCGGCTTTTGTTAACCCCTTATTTTTCTTTCACTGTTGTAATGGTGAAATAAAGGCAAAAATAATTAACGAAGAAAAACAAATTTATGTAACTTTTTTAAATTTAAAAGGTTGACAGTTTAGAACGTCAAATGGCTACATTATGTTCATTAGTTCAATGTGCTCTATTGCCTTATCGAGAAGGAAATGTTAACAATAATTCTGAACGTCAAATGCTTCATTTTGACGGGGCTCTAGCTTTGGCTGATTCCACAACTTCGACAACACTTTCTAATGGATCTGAATGTTTTGATAGATTTAAAAATGATTTTAAGGAATGGGGACATATAATTAATGAATTGGAGGTTATTAGAGGGGATTTGGATTTACTTAAACAGGATGTTCAGGTAAAGGAAGTAGTTTTTTGTTGGTTTGGAATTTAAGACTTTTAAAAGTTTGGGACGTTTAAAGGAAAAATGCAGGACAAACAATAGGTGGAACAGGCGGGTCAAGAGGACTTGGGTTCTAGGTTTCACCAAATTTCTCGGTTGAACGAACCGAAAATCTTGGTTTGGATCGAGTTCAAACTGACAACCCTAAAAGGATTATTGTTTTTGATAAATAAAATAGAATTGTTTAGGGTTGATTGATCAGGGATAATTGATTAATAATAAGTTATTAGTTATAATTAGTTATCAATAATAATTGATTGATAACTAATTGATCAGGGATCCAAAAGATTTTACACTTTCCTTTACATTGGTAATTCTCCTTACTACGAGTTGGTTCGGATTGAGTTAATAATTCCGTATGTTTAGTTCACAACTTTTCTTTCTCAGATATTCCACATCTCGATTTTTTCCTCACTCCCCCTAACTCAGATAATCTCACAAATATACCCAATTAAAAATTAACATATACCTAATTTAATTCTTTTTAAAAAAGAGAAACACATTAAATGGAAATGAAATGATACAAGATGTATTAAATCAAATAAAGAGAACAACAAATTTAAATACAAATTTATTTCAACAAAATTTATTTATTACAAATTATTTAAATAGATTATTTAATGTCCAATCTTCTTTAAAAAATTTCGAATCTAATTTAGAGAATACGAGAAGTGCTGTTTTAAATTCTACAAGAAGATTGAAATTGGATGAAGTTAATGAATTAACTACAGCTTTGGGGGAAATTGGGCGGGAATCTGTGGAATTGAAAGGTGCTGAATTTAATTTGTTTGGAAGTTGATAAAACTGAAAAAGTGTTTAATTTCACATTAATTGATAAATTTGATTTCCCTCCTTCCTTTCCCAATAGAAAACTAAATGGACTTTTTAAATCTGTGGCCTCCATAATTATTTTTTTCCCAAATCGAAATTTCGAATCCACCCCAGAGCTAAACCCAGAAGACCTACGCCCAAAAGATATTGACCCAAAAGACCTATAAATTTTTAAAGCGATATCGAGAGATTTAGAGGGATTAAGGAGGATAAATATCCAGCTCTATGAAGATTAGTACCCGGTATGTATTGTTGAACCAATTATGCCGTATTTTGAGTCTGTTTACCATAACTCTGGGTTGGTAGAGATCTCTATCTCCGTCATTCACACTAAATCCATCGATATCTCCTTATTCCTGCCAAATCCCTTGAAAATTGTCAAATTACCTCTTTTAGAAGATTTTATCTCCCTTCTCAGATGATTTTTGTGGATTTTTCATGGAAAGCTTTTTTCCTTTTCATTTCTCCAATTTATTTTGTATTTTTAAAAATATTTTTTAAACAGTTGAAATTCCCATTTTACAAAGAAAAATAGAAATGGAAATTAGACAAACAATGGAAAGAATGGCTAGAGAGGAACGTTTATTACAAGAAAAATGTTTTTAATAAAATTTAATTAAAAAAATTTTTCAATTTTTAAGTGCCGTTGGTGGATGGATTTTTAAGAAGATGTAAAACATTAGCTAATATGATGGTAATTAAATTAATTAATTTAGAAAAATATTTGTTTGTTAGGTAACTATGAAAAAATTAGCAATAATACAAGACGAGGAACGTCCACAAACACAAAGGAGAGCAATTCCGGGTAAGAGAATTGAACGGTGTTATGAGAATATGATAATGGGGAATAATCTCTATTTTTATAAAATTTTGTATAGATTTAATCTTTAATTATTGTCTTAACTTCTCTAAAAAAATTCTGAATATGTATAGGAGTTTAGCAGAAGTTTAGCCTCCGGCAGGATTTGAACCTGAGACCTCCTCGTAGTTATTGCTAGGAGCTTTCGCTCACCACATACAGGAAGCTCAGCTCTACCACTGAGTTGCCAGGCCATCGTCTAATGCTTCCTCTTTTAACCTTTTTAGAACGCTTAATACGCCTAGGCTTTTTAAATGCTCTAGGTGAATCTCACTACAATATTTTTTAAAAAATATTCAGAATTTTTGAAGCCTAAAGGGTAATTTGGATGCAGCAAAATTTGGACGAGGGATAGAAATTGTATGATAATAAAGTTAGCAAAATTCTAAAATTCTTAGAAACTACGCATTGGGGTGTGCCTACAAAATTTCATTTCATTAGCTTCTTGTATTTTCAGACCTAAACATTGCTGCATCTAAAATACCCTTAAATCTCCAAAAAAAAATTAAAATTTTTAAAGTTAGACAAATTTCTCTTCGAAATTTCCGTCCACCAATAACTACTACACAAAAACAACAAAAAATAAATGAAAATAACAATAATCATCCATTAGATGCAATACTTGATGAATTAGGTGAAAATAATAAACAACAAAATAATGAAATACAAGCTTCGTTTACACTTCGTCTTGGGAGCTCTAATAAAGAAAATGGAAATATTTGGGGAAAATGAAAAAAAGAAAAAATATTTTTTTTTAATTCCAAAAAAAGTCAATTTTCAATTTTATTTAAAAATTAAATAGTTGTTTTGCAAGTAAAAATTTAAATTTTAATTAATATACAGTTTAAAATTTATATATTAACGATTCTTGTTTGGGAATTTTCTAATTATAGTAATTCCTCAAAAAAATTAAATTTCTTAAAATTTTCCTAAAAATATTAAAACAAAAAAAAGAAAACAAAATATTTGAATTCTACTAATTTTTTTATCAAAGAGAAACAAATTCACCTAAGATTACTAGTCCCTAGAAGATCTGGATTATTCTTAAATCGAATACATAATTTGAACTTATTTTCGAACTCACAATCAACATACTTGATTATGCTTTGGCAAAACAATTTACCTATTTTTCCTTTCTGGGGACAAAGTAATCCTTTTCAACAATTCTAAAGCAAAAAACAAACAAATTTAAGAGAGAAAATATTTATTTAATTTAATTTCATATTTTCTTCTCTCATTCTTTTCAAACTACTTTCAATTCTTTGTTCTCTTTCCTTCAAATCATTTTCAAACCCTTCCAATTCCCTAGGGACATTCTTTTCTCGAAAAACTTTGTAAAAAGAAACTTGTCCAATAATTAAATGATTTTTAATTAATTCTAATCCAGCTCCAATTCCAAAACCAAAAATAAAAAGTGACAAATCATTTCTCATTAATGTATGGGCTAATTCCGAAATAAAATTACTTCTCCAACGACCACCAACACCATTGTAAATGCTTCCAATTTTTTTGACCTTGAGAAAAAGAATAAAATAAATTTAAAGTTCTTATTTGTTAGTGTTAGAGTTGCGCGTACCCCGCCCCGAAATAATTTGAAACCCCCGTACCCCGTCATACTCGCCCCCGAGCGTTCGGGGTGCAACCGTAATTTAAAGTTAAATGGATAAATGGGAAAAAAGAATGTCAGTCTGACACAAAAACATTCAAATTTTTAGGTTTTAATTAAAACTACTGGAAAAAGTCTGAACGTGAAGACAAGCAAAATAGGCTATTTAAAATTTTGGAATCTACCCTTAACTGGCCATTTATAGTCTAAATTGAATGGGGAAACTTTATTTGATCCTAACTTTATTGACACCTATCCATCTTTCTAAAACTAACAATTATTTGTGTATTTTTAAAGAAAAATATTTAAAAATTAATTCAAAAACAAACCTTTCCAACAACATTCATTTTAATTATTTTCTTCTTTAAATTTAAATCCAGCCAATTGAGCCTGTAAAATTTCAAATTCCAAACGTCGCCTTTCTTGTTTCTTAATTGGTTTTTCGTAAAGATAATAAATAAAACCAGTTGTAACAATAAATGAAGAAGTGTAAGGCAAAAAGGCGAGAGTAATGAATCTGACAATACCTAAAAAATAATTATTTTAGGAAAATTTTTTTAATATTTATGCTTAAAGTAAGGTTGTTAATGACCTTTTTTCTAAAATAAATTTTGATTTTTTTTTACCAAAATTAACCGTTTTATGAAATTAAAAATTATGAGTGATTCTTCTAGAAATCCTCCGAACTAGAATAAAACCTTTCTTTAATTAAAACTCAAACACTTAAATAGAATATGAATTGAAGACCGGGGATACCGCTTAATAAGCCATAAACACAGTTTAAAGTTAATATAAACTCAAATACTTCCAGCCCATTTTTAAATTATGGATTTCTACAATTTCTCCTCAACAAGTATACAAGAAACAAAAAAAATACCCAAAAATTATTTTAAGAAAACCTCACTCAAATGCAAAATATCCAAACGTCGATTTGTAAGCAAACGGCGATATAAAGGTCTTGTATCGGGTCGCCTAGAAAGTCTGGCCAAACTCAAAAGCATAAATCTTTTAAAAATTAAATTAAAAAAAAAACAAAATTTAATTAAAAATAATTTTTGATTGAATTTTTAACAAATTTAAAAAACATTTGATATTTTAACAACAATTAATTAATTACATTAAATATTTAATTTACAAAAATGAAGGAAAACAAAAGAATGGATATATAAATAATTTAAAGAATCAGAAATCATTTTAAAGAATTTTTGTGTTTTGGTTTTGTGAGTTCCAGAAAACTTTTCTACTCCTACTTCCACATAAACCCAAATAGTCTCTTTCATCTCCCTCCATTCTTTTGTTAATTTGTAAGTGAAGCTCTCCATAATAAACAAAAATAGTAATGAAAGTTGATAAATTTATAAAATATTTTTTTCAGTCAGACCTCAATTATATACAAAACTCTTGCAGCCAGAAAATGTAAATTAAGAAAAATATTTAACTAAAATTAAAAAAAATCCATGGCCAACCAAATTGAAAAAAAACTTCAAAAATTGAGAATGTACGTAAATTGAGGTCTGATTAAATAAAAATAATTTTGAAAGAAAATATTTTCGTAAACTATGGAGGGTTTTAATTTAAAAATACTAACTAAAAAATAAAAAATATTTAAAACAAAAATTAGTCTTTTTGGTTCTGAGGCATTAAAAATTAAAAATAAAAGGCAAGGGAATGTCTGAGCAAAAACACAAACTTTTTAAAAATTCGAAATTATTTCGTTGCTTTTTTTATTTCTCCCTCTGGAGTAGCAAAATAAGCAGCATCAATAACATTGAGGAATAATCCCGTCTCTGTTACACCTAAAATTTTTTTGAAAAATTAAAAGAATTAGCAAATAAACCTGGAATACACAACAAACTATTATTAACTAAATTCCAATCAAAATTATCACTTTCAGGTATTGGAAAATGCCAATCTAACTAAAAAAATAACATTAAAAAATATTTTAAAAAATAATTAAAAATATACCAAATAATTATGATTTTCTGTAATTACTGGAAAACATTTTCGAGAATCCATTCTTAATATACACTTTCCTCCTTAAAAACAATTTAAAAATAAATTTGAAAGCATTAGATGATATAACAGGATTTGAGGGATAATTTATAGAATATGTCAAGGGCGTAGCCAGAGGGGCTTCTGGGGCTAAAGCCCCCCCCCCCTCCCCCTGAAATGGGGAAAAGGGAAAAATTTGAGGAGGGGATCGCGAAAAAAAGTTTGCGTTAGGAACGCCAAAGTAAATGCCAAAATTTTGTCGCACAACCAATTTAACCTCCCCCTGAAATCGACCTTCTAGCTATGTCCTCGAAATATGCATAAAAATGAAAGACGGGACACTTTTCCGTCCGTCGATTTCGTTTCATTCTAGTAGTTCAGAGTTACCCAGAACGGGGGTTAATATGTATTTTTTGACGGTTTCCAAATATTCTTAGTTGTCCTAGTTTCTCAAAATCGATCTAGTCCCAGTATGGTTAACCAAAAATTCGGCATTTTAAGGTTTTACTAGAAAAATTTAAAAAACCATGTTTTTCAGTAATCCATTTCTGTACAGGGACAAGACTCAAAGGAGCAATTTCAATTGGAATACTCTTTGCAACACGTCCAAAAACTCCAGAATATTTATCAAATCCACCAATAACAACAAAACGTTTAGCACAATTTTGGACAATTTTTTCTTGTAATAAACAACCACCGGCCCCTTTTATACCTTTAAATTTAAATTTTTTATTTCAAATAATTTAATTTTACAATTTAAATCTTTATCAACTTCGTCGGCACCGTCAATAGCCAAATCCAAATTGCTAAGTTGATCTAAACAGTAGACAGGCAAATTGGCATTATTTAACCAAACACGAGTCTAAAATTAAAAATAAACCTCTTAACAACCCCCCTCTTAACAACTCTAGTAGAGATCGAGCTTGGCCTGGGTTTTTCATGTACACAGAGTCCTGGCCTAGGCATTTTTTTATCTTCCTAGGTTTTTCCGGGGACTGGGTTTTTGCTGGACTACAGGCCCATGTCAATAAATCAAACCCAGAAACAGGCCCAGATTTTTCAAAAATCTCGATCTTTGTCATGTTAGGTTAGGGAAAAATAGGCTGTTTAAAAATGGAGGTTGTGACGGGAACCATAAATTCTAAATTGATGGAGGATGGGAAGGAACGTTAAAACCTAAACCATAGAAGATGACTGACCTTATTAACGATTCAACCCGAAGTTTTTTTTGAAAGGTCCAATGTCATTAAACTTTAACTTACAAAGATAAAAATATTGAGAGGGGGGTTGTTCCCCAAATTATTAAAAATTAAAAAAGAAACCTGAAAAGACGTCGGCACACATTTAATATTTTCCAAATTTCCATTTTCAATCGTTTCTTGTAACCAATCAATAAAAAACTTCATAGTCGTTCCACTCCCTATTCCAAGATTCATTCCACTCTTAACTTCATCTTCTCCACACGCAATTGCCGCAAATTTCTTTGCCCGATCAGAAGGTGACAGTTTATCCAAAAATAAATTATTTTCTGTAAAATTTGATGAATTTTTGTGAATTTTTAACATTTTTTGATTGGAAATTGATGTAATTGTTTTTGATGGTCTTTCGTCTTCACTTTCTGTGATTATATTCCTCTCATTTAGATAATAGGCCATTGTCGTCGCACGACGTAGAAGAGGGCGAAAGAGAAGTAATCGTTCGATGTTTACTCTTTTTAAGTTTAAAAATGTCTAGTAGTACACAAACAAACAAAATTTCTAAAACAAAAAAAAAAAATTAAAAAATTAAAATAAATTTTCAACAATTTTAAGATTCTAAGATAAAAGGAAAGTAGGCTTCTTTTTGGATCATTTCATTGTCTCTAATCTAGGGAACGACATATCAACGTTTTCTTAAGAAAAAAAAGTTGATTTAATAATATCAACAATTATTCGCGAACAACTTTTTTTTAAATACATAACGCCAGAACAACGTTAATATCAACGTTTTACGCCAAACTGCGAATCAACGTTTTTGTATCTTTTTTTCTCTGCTCTGCCATTATATTTCTCTTCTTTTTTTCTGTTAATTTTCGTTCGTGTAGTCTCTCCTTTGGAATTTAAAAGAATTTTACGAGTAGGAATTTTTTTATTAAAATTGAAAAAATATATAAAACAACAAAATTTTATCCATCTTTAAATAATGATTGTAATGAATTGGAATTTTGTTTGAAGTTTCTTTCCAAAATTTTAGCAAATCTAGCTTATGTCCTCCCAAATTCTTACATCCAGTTTCATACTGTTCCATCTCAAAATCTAGTCCTTTCTCAGCCAAATCATCGTTTTTAATTTCTGTTTGTAACTTTTTTGAATAATCACGACGAAGTCTATGGACAAAAATACTTTTGTTAGTTTATGATATAAAGGCAAATCTTAAAAACTATATCCAAAATTTTTTTGAAAAAACATTTATCTCAAAAGATAGAATATACGTATAGTAATATTTCGAATGAATCTTTTCTACCATCACAAATTTTTGATGCATGAGGAGATTGCCCTTGTAATTTGTTTGATAAAATCAAGGACAATTAAGAAAATTCATAGGGTACTCCAACATGCAAAAAACTGATTGTGAGTCAAATAAAAATAAATGTGGACATTCAGGAGTTACATTCAGGAGTTGGTGTAGTCCCAAGATGGGTAAAACGAAAAATGCGAAGAGTTGTCAAAACCCAACCCCAAATCATTGCAAAAGAAAGTAAAATCTGACAAAATTTAAAAAATTCATAAATAATTTTCAAAAGAAAAACCTTAATTCCGCCATAAACAACAGTTCCGCCATAAACAACAATTCCGCCTAAAAAAGCTGCTCTGACTAAATCATCTCCTCTTACTTCTCCTCTCCAAGCATTTTCCAATTTGATCATTTCCCTCATCAGTAATAAAAACGATTTTTGACATGACAAGCCCAAGATAGGTAAGATTTTTGTTGACTAAATCAGATATATTTTTTCTGATTTTGGAAATGTCTCCAGGAATTGGAAGACACGAAAGTACAAACATTCATTCCATGATCGCCTACTCTTCGGACTTCCTAGATTAATCCCTTAAGGATATCGGATTTTCGACGTTTCGATGACGGTGTCACAGGTTCTTCGAGATCGCCGCTTTCGAATGCGACTCTTAATTCATTTTCAATTTCATCCATCTAGTAAGAATATATGTGGAAAAATCCCTAAAAATTACAGAAAAAAGACTGAACATTTATAAAAATGGAAAATTACAAATTCCAAAGGAGAGACTACACGAACGAAAATTAACAGAAAAAAAGAAGAGAAATATAATGGCAGAGCAGAGAAAAAAAGATACAAAAACGTTGATTCGCAGTTGTTTGGCGCAAAACGTTGATATTAACGTTGTTCTGGCGTTATGTATTTAAAAAAAAGTTGTTCGCGAATAATTGTTGATATTCGCCGCGAATCAACGAAAACGTTGATTTGTCGTTCACTACTCTAATCTAACTCCATAAAATTTACTATTTGCAGACTACAAAAATTAAAGGGGGTACAGCCCAAAAAGAATAACAGAGCTGCGTCGAAACAAAAAAATCTTCGAAAATCGAAATTTTTAAAATAAATAAAAAATATTAAACCAGGGATGGGCCGGGCTATAAATCTACCGATATTACTATAATCCTCCGACAGATTTCCAAATCCCCGATATACCCCAAATCGGGTGATTATGGAAGATCCTCGAGCCAAAACTTCAAGTTTCAGCTACCTAAAGTTTTTTTGGATGACCAAGAAGCCAGATTTCTTCCTTTTTTGGTGCCGCAGTAATAAAATATTAAAAGAAATATACTGGCCAAAAGGGCTGTGCGCCATGACGTTTTGGCGTTGCGTTTTGGCGCTGTTTTTGGCCGATTTTGGCGTTATTGCGTTTGGCGTGTTTTTGTCATTTTGGCGCGGCAAAACGCCATTATTTTTATGATAAAAAATTTGAAATTTTTTGCCTACAGCCTCCCTAAATTCTTAAAATTTTCGCCTGCGGCACTAAAAAAGAAACAAATCTAAGGTCTGGGTCTTAAAAAAGGTTGAATACATTTCTCTTTTAAAAACGTCGATTCAGTCACAATGCAGGTGATTAAAAGTAATTAAGAGGATATTTGAATTAAAATGAATATTTAGAGATTTGATTTCACCCAACAGGAAAAGTTTGGTGAAATTAAGAAGGGAAGAAGTCTGACCATTCTTTACATAAAACAGTCCGCAAAAAGGGGGTGTAGGGATAACGGAAAAGTACCGTAAATATTGTCTAAAACATTTTTAATTGCACTTTACTCTTTGATCTTTTAAAATAAAACTGATGTAATAGAGGTATTAATTTAGAACAGGGCTTCGATTTCTGCGGATTTTTCCGTATTTTGTGATTTTTTGATATGACGATGAGGATTATTTTTAAAAATGCGGATTTGCGGATTTTTTCGATCAAAATTGCGGATTTTTATAAATTCGAGATCGAAGCCCTGATTTAGAAGAATTTACTGAAATTTTTAAAAATAAATTATTAACTTAAAAATAATTATTTTAGTATTTAAATATTGTTCAGGTTTTTATTAAATGTATTAAGAAAGAGATAATCCAAAAGGAGATAAATTTAAAGTTATTTTTAGTTAATTTTTTAGTTGAATCCTTTTACAGATATTGAATTTTCTATTCGGATATTTAACTTTTATACAAAGCTTTTAGGTTTTGGGGATTTCGTTTTAGACTTTACTTGTTTGAAATTACTCTCTTAATTTTGAAATGTGGAGAAATTTTTATTTTTCTTCCACCTTCCTCTCCTAATTAGGGTTGTCGGTTTCAAACCGAAACCGAAAAACTAAAAATTTTTGGTTCAGTTAACGAAGAATTTGGTTAAACTGACAATTCTACTACAGACCCTTCTTCTTTTTAAATTAACGGGTGGGTCCGTCACTGTCATTAACACACTTCCTACAATACAAAGAGAGAAAGGAAATGACTTTATTTTAAAGTTTTCCTGATTTAATTATTTTTAAAAACATATTTTATTTATTTCAATTCCTCCAAAGGATAAAATATTTTTATTTTGATTTAATGGAAAAAAATAATTTTTTGTTTTCAAATTGTTGGCCTTTGTATGGAATCGAGGGAACTGAAAATTTTAAAATTCTAATTTTGTTAAAATTAATTATACATTTTGGAGAAATAAAATTAATATTTGTAATTGTTAAATTAACAAAAATAAAAATATTTAATAAACGAAAATAGTTAAAAAATATTTTTTAAATTTAGATTTAAATTTTATGAATAGAGGCTCGGGAAGCTATCCTAATTTAAATAAATATAGAAAAAAAATTAAATAAATTTAATGCTAAATTATGTCTAGTATTTAAATAAACATTTTAGATATTAAAATAATTTAAATAAATGTCTATAGGTAAATATTGACTAAAACACAGGCTTGGTAATGGATACGGATAATATTCGAATATCCGCGGATATATCCGGATATGGATACCAAAATCCAGTAAAACAGCTGGACTATAGCTATTTCTCTCCTTTATCTAGTGCAAAAGGTTAATCAGCGGCTGGGAATGAACAAGCATCTTCAGTAGACCGGACTGATGTGTTAGCCATTACACCATGCCGTCTAATGCACAGCCTTAGCAATTAAATAGCTATATATGCTTTACAATCCGTGTCCATTACTAAGCCTACTAAAACATTTTTATTTTGTAAATGCACTTTTCTCTTCTTGATTTTTTTAAAAATAAAACTGATGTAATTGAGGGAAGGTCTTCCTTTAATATCTTCTTTTAATTTCAAAATAAAAATTAAAAATAATTCTCAAAAACAATTCTCATAAACTTTCTGAATAATAAATTTAAATAATTAAATTCCCCCCCCCCCCCAAAAATAATCTTAAAAAATCCCAATCCCTATCAGAGTCCATCAATCAAATCACAAATTTTCTTTTAACTTCCAAATAAATATTTATCCTCTATTTTTACTTTATTTGTTTTTCTTTTTGTCATCAATTTTTGTCTGTTCAATTCTTTTTTCCAAATATCCCATAAAATGACTTTTTTTATAAATTAATTTTTCGCGTTCTGGACCAAACATAAATTTATTTATATAAATTATTTCCTTTCTTTTTTCTTCACTAAACAATTCCCATTTACAATTATTAATATTATCCAAATCCAATTTTAAATAATTATTTTCCAAATATTTTGTGTCATTAACATATAACGTCTTCTAAAATAAAAATTTTTTAAATCTAAAATCTCTCTTATCAATTAAACAATTTACAGGGTGACTAGGTAGTTGCCCACACCTTATTTATCATAACTTTATTAAAACTCGATCAAATAATATCAAAATACAATCAAGTAATAGAGAATTAAATGGGGAACAAAATAAATTAGGATTTTTCGAAATACCCCTTTTTGGCTTTAATCAGAGGCGCAGACGCGAACAAAAATTTTTGTAAATTAGCCGCACCTCCTATGTTCCTCTTTTCAGATGACAAAATTTTTATGAAAGAGATATGTCCGAATCGCAATAATAACTAATATTGGGCCTCTAAATCTCCTCTTTCTTATTCAGTTGTTAAGGATTTCCAACACGCTTCCTTCGAAATGATATGGACTG